TACAGGGGCAGATCACTAAAGTTTTGAAAAAAGGAGTGATGCAAGAAAGTACAAGTGCCAATGCATTCCCTTTAGTTGAAGTCAGAAAGTCTTCAACTATGCGTAGACTACATGTGACTAAATGCAAAAGGATTTGGTGTCCGTAATGGACCCCACATTTAAGCTCAATAAATTGCGTTGAGCATTTCTCTTGAAGTAATTGACAGACAGCATTTTCTATTGGAGGCAAGGGAGAGAGAAAGTAGACAAAATTGACCAAAGTTCAAATGCCTGAAAACTTGAAAGGTAAAAGATGCATGCATCTCATGTGTCTAGAACGTACCTGTATGTGTTCAATTAATTCCGTTGACCAATTTTTTTGAGAAGTAGATAAAAGATCAAACTACTTTGGATGTGCAAACGAACAAGGGCACCTCTATATGCCCCCAGCCATATCTGGCGTGGGGGCATCGCAGTAGCTTGGAACTAAGAAAATGAATTTCCAGGATCATGAACTCACTGACCAGAAGCATGCCAAATCTGAGTAATGCTACTCAAAGATTCATCATCAGTGCAGCCAAATAAAGACCGCACCCTTAACATTTCCAAGCAGCAAAAAATTCAGAGATTTTTGCCTTGGGGTGAAATTTAAGCCATGGAGGGTTTTACCAACCGTTTTGCCGTATAGCACAAACTTCTGCATTAAAGGATCCCCTCCACCCATAATACCTTACGCACGCAAAGTGCAATATCCGCCATTTTATTTGCCATCCAAATTCTGACATTTCGTTTGTTGAAAAGAAACCCTCATCCATCCTTGTGTGTTTGCATTACCAAGGTCTTAAACTGCCATAAATGCTTTTTTAAATTATCGTTGCTTATATCTGAATCGTTATTTTATCATTATTTCTTTTTGACCGATTCCTCGTTCCTTTGCCCGCATGGTGCAACAGGCGAACCATATATATATATATATATATATATATATATGCATTTCTCTTCCGTCCCAGATCCGACATATCGGAGCCTTGCGCAGCAGATACGCAAGGCTTCTATTTTTGCCGGATGCCGGAGCACAAACGCTTCAGCACAGAGAAGATCAATTGATACAAAGAAGCAATATTAAAACATCCAGTTAATTTTGAATAAAACACTCCTTATTGCCGCCGGTTCATACTGAAAACTACAACAGACATCGAAGAAAGAAAATATGTGAACTTTATCAACAGAGTACTTTCCAAACAAATGACAAACCCAACACAAACAGGAAATTAAGAACATTTTTTAATAAACAGGCTACTTATCCATGGTAGAAGCACAAAAAAGAAATCTCAAAAAAGAAACAAAGCAAGACAACCGTTCTTCAACTCCTTCAGTAGGGAACAAAGCCTGTTGCCTGTTTGTAATTACATTTAATTCAGCATGTATCGTGTTATCTAGAGCAATCGCGCGTGATTCCATAATTTCCACGTGATCTCATCAGGCGTGCTGATTGGTCTCACTTCTCTGAACGTCCAGACTTGGTGCGCAGTGAAAACGCAACTGATGGGTGTTGACGGACGACAAAGCACAGATAAAACACGCAGCAGGGCGGAGGCGGACCGAACACGGATCTGCTGTAATCCAGGGGTAACGCACCTCGCATTCAGGGTCGACAAGGTCCAGATCCTGATCAGTGAACCGACGGATACACAAACGGCCAGGTCTGCGATCAGGGTCAAGTTCATGGAGCCCGCGCGTGAAATGAACAAGCCCTAATTTTGATGAAAGATCACAAATACCTTGCACTGGGTTCAAAATTCCTTTCAAATAAACTAGTTTTGTGGCTATAACATCATTCACAAAAGTCAAATGTACAAAATGCTAAAAAAAAAAAAAAAAATCTTTGAATATTCCAAACTATTATCCACACGTTTGTTATCTTCATGCATCAATCTTGCCCCAGAGTGCAATAAAGTTAGTAATGTCAGCAAAAAGTAAACCTGGGTCTGTAACATCAGTCACGGTTCAACACAACAAGCTACAACAAAGTTGTGCAGCAAAGTACTTGTCTCTGAGGAGCTTTCTTTAATACAAAGGATTAGCGTTGTTTATTGTCATTAGATGGCAGCAACATCGATATGAATATTCATGATTTTCCCATGATGCACTTCCTCTACCTGGCTTCATCCAAAGAAACAAGAAGGGACCGCCGAATGATCTCTTAAATTTACCTCCATCCTTAATAAGCAGGTTTGTAGAGTACTCTCTCATGGTCCAGCTCTTAAACCATGACAAAAATGGAGGAAGACGCAGAATGCCATAAAAACAATAATGATTTATTTTAACAAAACATAATTAACCAAATACAAAAAAAGGAAATTAACAACAGAACGAAGTCAAGCGCTGGTGGAAAGATGAGAGAAGATGAGAGGGAGAGATTGAACGCTGAAGGTGGAGCTTTTATGTCCAGGTGCCAGATATCTAACCAGCAGCTTCCAATCACAAATCACACCTTTGCAACTGCAACTCCGAGAGGCAGAGGATTAGAGCACATGCAATCACAAGACCAACAACAAGGGGCGTCACAACTCTTATTTAATTTATCACAGATATCTGTATAAGTATTTTTCATTATCTGGCCATTGTTTGTCAGGTTATCACCTGTTAATGTAGGTTAATACACTCAAAGAAGATGATCTCATCATGTACACAAAGTACATGTATTCTGTTGATCATGCCATCTGCGAAAATTTATCACACCTACCAAGGCAACCTCTGTGCAGTAGAGCAGCCAAAAAAAGATGATTTTAGTGAAATAAAAATGCCAGGCCTTCTAAAATGTCCAATGCTGAGTTGGGTTCACCTCATGCATAATGTTCAGTAAGAGTGCAGCAGAATAACTTCATATTGGAATCCTGGGCTTTTCAACTCACCCAACTCTGTCTTTCACAGCCTATTTTTCCCTAACCTTAATTTAGTTTATTCTGGGATTTTCTGACCTAGCCAGCCACTTGTAGTTGGTTACAATATAAGTTGAGAAACTATTAAATTTTTTTTTTTTTACTGTTTAAACCTTTATATCAGGCCTGCCAGGCTAGTGAACACCACTCATTAAATCTGTGTCAATAAAGAGACAAAGTATTCACATCTCACTTGAAGCCAGAAGGTATTGTCAGCTCTGCACCTGGTATGGTCAGGAAACCATTCAAATGCCATTATTTTCATTTAGTGAGCTTTTAAAGTAAATGAACATGTACAAAATGACAACTGCTTGTCAAATTATCTTGTTTTATCCATAGAAATCCATTCTCTGTAACTCAGAACTCAGTGACAAACTAATTTCAGTGACGTAAAGTCAGTCACGGATAATTTTGCAATTATTCTGATAAAGCTTTTAATTTGGAACATGGCAATAATTTCTAGAAATTCAGTTGTATGTTATCTTATATCTTGGAATGAAAAAGGTTGTCAACCCTGTATGGTTTGAAGTCTGCAATTAAGATGATGAATTCTCTTAATGGCCGTTTTTGTGTCACGTCAGTCATGCTCACAATTTCACATGCTCCAAACTTATACATGACACCAGCAAAGTTTACTTCTCCCTTTAAGAAGACCAAGATCCTTGTCACAAAATATGAATATCCAAGGAGTGCAAATTTTACAACCAGGCCATACCATAGGGCCTGTTACAACTGATAATGTAAAAATCATCTTATAATGTAACACTAACTGTTAATGTCATAAAAAATTTACTAATAATGTTACACTCAGAGGCGGACTTACCATTAGGCAGAGGCAGGCAGTTGCCTTGGGCCCCATGCTTTCAAGGGGCCCCATAAAAGTCCTCGTCAACTTATTATGATCTAGGACCTTTTTCAGTTTTCTACTATTTTTAACGTGTTCTTATAAATCCATGTGCTAAAAAAAGCATCAAAATATTTAATCCGGTGTTTTGGGGCCCCCTTCTGTTTCCACCATAGTGGACTAGTCCAAACTGCGCATGCGCAGACTGGAATCAGGAAGACGATGGCAAAACAAACTCCTTGGCGCCAGCATGGAGAGAGCAGAAATGAAGCGGAATTAGGTAGACATACTTCCTGATAATAATATCTCCCCTGTCAGATAAATATTAATTGTACCCAGTGGCGTAGCTAGTGGGGGGGCAAAGACACGTCCCTTTATGCCCAACAATTAGTCCTGGCAAGTTCTCAATCATTATCCTTTATTGACGCGTTTTCCAATTATCGTAATTTGTAACTGAAGACACGGTTTCTCTCCATATGCGATCTAACAGTGATTAAATCAAGGGGTAAATTCAGTACAGTGGCGGAACAAGAACAGAGAATTGGGTTGCACAAAACATCCGTTTAAAACAATTATTAGTCCTGACCTGTTCTCAGTCATTTTCATATTTAACAGAAGGTTCACTCCGAGAGCACTCCACACTTATCAGGTGTTGCTTGTTCTCCCCGATTAGGTAAGACGACAATAATTCATCTGGACGCGTATTTGCTGTGTTTAAATCAACGTTATTCAAAATTGCAAACCTGTCGACTCTGTCTTCAAGTCAAAATCTGGACCTTTATTCTGTCTGCAAAGAACTCGCACAAACAATGGAAAAGCTTTGCTGTGTGAAGTTGCATTTAACACACAGACCTTGTGCGCACTTTCCTGTGCTTGGTTTGATTATTTTCTTTCTAACTGCTTCATCAGGAGACAACAAGGGATATGTGGGGCCCCTTGGCTGTGTTTGCCTTGGGCCCCAAAATGGCTAAATCTGCCCCTGGTAACACTCACTGATAACATAAAAAATCAACTGATAATGTAATATCAACCGACAACGTAATAGAAAATCAACTGATAATGTAACAACATTTGCTAACCGATAACGTAACACGAAAACAACGAAGAGTGTAAAAAACCCCTTACCATTTATGGAATATAAAACCAACTGATAATGTGGTACCCAAATAAAGCAAACTTGTGAAAGTGCGAAGTAGCTTGCTAACTCTAAAGTAATAAAAATTTTGGATTAGGCAGCCAGAGAAATAGCGGCTAGGGTGCTCGGCTTGAGGCCGAGAGGTCCTGGGTTCGATTCCTGCGGTTGGCGGGCATGGACAGCTTGCCTTTCCTCGAATGCCTCACTCAACTCAGGTGTAAATTAGTAGTATATACTGGGGAGTATATTATAAGATTATTATAAGTATATTATAATGGATATATTATAAGAACCGGATACTGAACCGAAAATGGCTGCCCATTCATTTCAATGGAAATTGCTGACTGGCGCAGTAAGCTGACATGGGGCCTTATATCCGGAGTCAAGCAGACATGGACTTTGTGACTTTTCGCTCACGCATAGTGTGGGGCTTATGAACCCACTGACACCTGAGGTATCCATGACAACGGTCCGGCCCGAAGCATGCCCACACAGGACACGTGTTCACGACCAATGTTCTCCGGAAATATAGCTAATCATGTCCACTTCGAAACCACAGTGAAACCCATGCAATAGCTCTGTACCAAACGGGCAAACATAGCACTTGCTGAAGGCTTTAATATACAGTAATTTTGTAAAAACAGTTTATATACCTAATAGGGATATAAAATGTGGATGAACTATTTTTATTTAACAGGGAAATAAAATTATTCACTATGTCGCAAAAAATGACAGCAAAACAGTTGACTTGCTGCTCTATAAGATGACAGTTCAATCTCATTTTCTGTGCAGTTCAAAGCTAAATGTATTTGCAGAAAGTGAAACGTTTTGTGCTTGTTAGCTTGCAAACTCCTCGATTCTTACTGGATACACGATAACCCAACCGCATAGAGCACTGCCCGTGCTTTATGAACTAATAAGTTTTAAAGTAGATGACGTTAATTAAAGTAATTAGCCAATTTTGACAAGTGAAATTACTTTTAACATTTGTGTGCTAAAAGCTCAATAAATCTCAAAGCTCATCAAATCCATCCATTCTGTATACCGCCTCTTTCCTACTAGGGTCGTGGGGGAACTGGAGCCCATCCCAGCTGACTCTGGAAGAAAGGCAAGGACCCACCCTGAACAGCTCGCCAATCCATCACAGGGTGCACACACCATTCATTAAATCCATTCATGAAAACTTTTTTCATCAAACATATGTCCACAGAATGGATAAAATTTCAGTGTTTTCTGCCTAATAGCAGTTTTTACTATCTATAAAATATTGGCCTTAGGACACATCTGTTTTATGCTCCTATTGTTTAAGTTAACATACGGTGGAGCCCTTCTCCTGGAAAGAATTCTGCATCCAACCCCCACTTTTTTCGGCTTTTTATTTTCCAGAACGATTTTAAAAGGGGGCGCCTACATACGTATTCAATTGGACCATCTCATTTTGTCCATTATGAGCGAAATCTGCCATATGCGTAAAAAGGACAAAGTCCGTTATACGCATAAAACAGATTATATCCGCTATATGCGTATAACAGATTATATCCGTTAAAGCATACATATAAATTCATACATGCATATAAGTATTAGGATCGGAACAACTCAATTCTTAAGTGCATATGCCTACTTGTTGTCTTTGTTTAATCCGTCTTTACTCTGACACAATGCACTGTTATAAACTGGCTGAATTTAACAGTTAAACTAACTCATTGTCTCCTTGTTATTTGAACTGTAAGTAGAGTCCTGCACGCATTTAACTGTGGTTCACAGTTAACATACACAGAACCTCAATTATAAACTGATTGTAAAATCACAGTTAAAATAACTGGCAAAAAAGGTGCAAGTTAATAACAGTGAGGATGATATTGCGTGTTGCTCAAACTGGGATGGAAACCGCATCAGTTTCAGTTTTCGCGAAGAGGAGAGCCAAACTTCATTTCGTTGCTCTGTTGCAACTGTGCAAGTGCATGGAGCAAACCAGCTTGTCCAGTATACACAAGGCATTGTGACAGTACTGGACATTTTGTCCGATGTGAGCGAAGATCCGTTATACAAAATCTAGTATATCCGATGTTTATTTATTTATTTATTTATTTAAATTTGGCATCTCCAATTCCACCCGAATCTGGAATGTCCAACTGGGGAACTATGTACAAGGCTTTTCACCTATGTGGCCCCCTATTGCCAACTTAGGAGACTGAGACAGCTCGCGGCTCTCCTCTGAAGCACGCGCCCGTTGCCACCGCTTCTTATACACTCATTGGTCAAAACCTCGCAAGTCCAGAACGAGGGCGGAGGATACCCGAACATGAATGAGCTTAGAATCTTCCTAACGACCGCCCATTTGGCCAACAGGAGGCGCCTGAGAACTTGTTATTTATTTACAATGCCCTATCCTGGCAGACCCTTCCCAATTTGCATCCCTGTAGCGCATTGGCCAATTGCACGCTACTCTGAAAAGAGCTCCCGACCACTGCCAGCTGGTACGAGGTGGGGATCGAACCCGCGCCATGATAGTCACTTCTGCTTCGCAACGTGGTGCTTTATCAAGCTATCCGGCAGCTCTATCCGATGTTTATTTAATGGCAAAACATTACAGAAAAATCGGGACTTGAGCTGTTGTCCGGTATGAGCGAGTTTCTGTTTTATACGAGGACATTTTAGGCTAGTTCTAATATATATATATATATATATATATATATACATAGAAGTATATATTGTCACAACCCGGCTCTAAGGCTGCAACAAAGAATGGGAGACCAGGAGAGCGGGCACGAGTAACAAAACGTTTTTATAAACAAAGAGAAAAACAACTTACAGCAACATGTGGACCTGTAGCCAGTGGTGTAGACGCGTGTAGGGATGAGTGTATATGTACGTGGCAGTAACTCTAAAGAAAATGCTGGTCGAAAAATGGCCCGTGGAAGCGGATGTAACGCTTTTATGGAGAACTACACCGGGCCCAGGTGTAGCTCACTACTCTGATGACCTTCCGGCTCCAAACCAGGATCCTGTAATAGAAAAGCACACCCAGCAAAACCAGTGTGAGGACCCCTGGCAGAGCAGAGGGTTGTCACACTTCCCCTGCTATAAAAACGGGGTTCCCACTAGAACACCAAAACTAGCTGTTACTAAATTCAAATCGAAAATTAAGAAGCTGTTATTTTAACCACGCTACATTTAATGTGAAATTTCACAAGATTATCATTATCTATACATAAACCTAAAAAATGTGTACTGACCGATTCTGTGGACACTCCCCAGCCAGCCAATCCATCCACCCTGCAACCCGGCAAGTCCAGCGCCTGGAGAAGAGTGACAAAGAGGGGCAGAGTACCGCAGAGGTAAACAGTATGGTACAGGCCACTTAGGAGCAAGGTGTTCTAGACAGAGCATCGGCCACAACATTCTCAGAGCCTTCAATGTGGCGGATGTCTAGACAGTAGGACTGCAGGAACAAAATCCAACACGTCAACCTCCGGTTTGGACAATACAAAGAATGCAAGAAAGTTATTGGGCTATAGTCTGTGTACACCACTAGGTGGACACTAGAGTTAACATAAACTTTGAAATGTTGTAACGCCCAAATTAATGAAAGAGTCTCTGTTATGTGAACACGCAGATATCTAGGTCGGGAAAGCCCTGCTTGACATAACGAGTTGATAAGCAGCTTCGTAGGACCGCTTAGCGAGACTGCGGTTGTTAGGCTTAGTGAAGCCCAGCAATAACTGAAAGCATTGTTCATTTGCACACTGTACTGTGTGGGGGGAGAAATCATTTATGATGTTTTATAAAGTTCATACAGCAGTAAGTTCGAAAATCCACGCAGTGCTGTATTTAACACAGTGCGCAATGTGTGTCTGCATGAATCACTGTCGGCATCAGCTAATGCGTAATCTATAAATTATTCTGTTTATTTTATAAAATAAATAAATATATAAATGATTATCATTTTAAAAAATAAAATTACAATGACGGATAATAATTGATTATGACGGAATTTTTATGCCCCTGTCCGTCACAATGACGGACAATCAGAAAGAGTGACGCGACCTCTGCTGCCAGGGCACCTACGGGACTAACCACTGTTGCAACTACAGATACAGGCCGTTTCTGCGCCTCCCCACCAGATGCAGAAACCTGTGATGCACTAGTGTAGTATAGTTTAAAGAGATTAGCATGACAAATTTGAGTGGACTTCCTAAGTTTTGGTGTAGACAGCAGGTAGTTTTAGTTTGAAACCTAACGGAGGACTGTAAACGGACCAGCAAATTTGGCCTGAAAAGGAGAAGTAACCAGCGGCAACAAGGCAAGCACCTGGTCACCAGGACTGAACTGGCGCTGCTCTGATTTCCAGCCATAGAGGTGCTTCATTTTCTCTTGGAAGGAAGCCAGCTTCCCCTGAGCCATCTCCCCGGCCATATACAATCGACACCGGAAACCATTTACATAGTCAATTAGGCTAACAGGAGGTTCTGATGCTGCCACAACATCATATAAGGCGGTGAGAGGTCCACGCACCTTATGGCCAAACACAAGCCCGTTGGGGCTAAAACCTATGTTCTCATGCACAACTTCCCTGGCTGCTAATAGCAACCATGGCAGTCCTTTTTTCCCAATCCTGACCTAGCTCTACACGGTACCCACGCAGCAGAGACTTCAGGGTCTAATGAAACCTTTCTTAAGCCCCTTGACTTTGAACATGGTATGCAGAAGCCTGGTTGTGTTTGAGTTTCAGCTATTTTAACAGCTGAGTGAACAATCACGAAGTAAAATTTGAACCCTGATCGCTCCGAATCACTTTAGGAACACCGAAAATAGAAATAAACTGTCAGTGCCTTTACAACAGACTTGGAAGTGATAGAGCGCAGAGGATAGGCAGCTGCATCCCTCCAGACTAACTTCAGGACCTAGGAGCACATGCGCCCCCAACCTGAAAAAGTTTGGCGTGCAGGCCAAAACTGTGGTCACGCAAAGTACCATGATACTTTTCTCAATATTTACAAGCCCAAATAAAGATACCTGAACAGACTATCAGTTGTTGCTGCATTTATTTAAGAAACATTATCAGAAAGCACTTTGTGATCTGAAAAGTAGATACTGATGTTCACAAGAATGTTTGAAAAATGTATAAATGCAGTTATCATTTTGGAGAGTTATCATACAGGTATAAATCT